AAGGGTTGAACACATGACGATACTTATAAACATCATTGAAAATGAAACATTTGGTGACAAGTTCGGAATTTGTCATTTAGAGTTATTATGACGCGACTACGGTGACGATCTCTGTAACGAAAAAATTTCGTCATCAATTTACTTTTGTGACAAAAAATAAGGTTTGCATGACGAATTTTATCGTCATGTTTTCTGAAATTTCTTGTAGTGTGGCCCAAGAGCACGCTCGTTGGAGCATTCGCCGGGAGTTTAATGTCCGATCTTGTTGCCGAGGTGAGGTTAGACAGGTCACGGACGGTTCCACAAACCATAGAGACTGTCCGCATGCCCGATGACCACCTGGTCGCAGTGCGCAAAGCAAGCCACGGAGATGGATGCATCAAGAAGTTGCGCCACTTGGACCCATACGCGGAATGCCGCACGGGCACGTACGCAGACAGCACGCTTCGGGGCGAGGGCGAAGTAGCGGCAAGCAATGAGGCACATTCTAGATAGGGTTCGGCCAATATCCTCGGACGAGATGAATCGACGCCTGGAGAATGACCTATGTTTCCATTGCGATGAGTGATTTATGTCGGGCCATAGATGCAAGGAGAACCGGGCGAACTAGATCGAGTGTTACAAGTACGAAGAGGATGAGAGCATACAGGATGGGCCACATAATTTGAAAAAATCAAATCCAAGAGTCATGAGTTGAAGAGGTTTAACGATAATGATTTTTTGTGACGGGAATTTTGACGATAGGAAAACCACGAATATTGTTTACAAAGAAATGTTTAATAATATTTAGGTTCACTTTTTTAAATTATTTTTTCTCATTTATTAAGTTATGATTTTTATTTTATTTTATATTTTAATTACTTTCTCTTCTATTATATCGATTTTCGTGCAAATACACAGGGTAAAACTAGTATTAGTTAATTACTAGTTAAAAATCAACAAAAACTATTTTTTTAATAATTTCATATTTTGGTATTATTGTTTTATATAAAAATATTTAATTTTATTGTTACTATGATTACATTCTTATTTCAACTTTAATCAATTTTAATGTTAGTAAATTTGGTTTCATAAAAATTTATGATCCCCCTATATATAATTTCCGAATGTTCTAAGTGGCAGGCCCACACGTTTCGGGAACCTTTGTGGCAAATTTTCATACTTTGTCATTTAGCTTGAATAGATTTAGTTTACTTCCAATCCAAAAATAACTAAGCTTAGAATATCCATAAATATATTGGATATTTATTATCCTTTTTAAGGGTATTGATTTTTTTTAATATTCTATTCTACTCTAGCAGTGATTTATATGGCATAAATTTTACACTCCAAACTTTCTTTTTCCTTATATTTCTTGTATAATTATAAAAAAAGTACTAACTTAAATTATTTATTTATTTTGAATTTATTAAATACAGTATTTATTATTTGTTTTTTATGTATAATATATCAAATTAGTTGTGTATTAATGATCTTTGATTAGGTATCTATATTATATACGCAAAATAAATAAATAAATAAATTTATTTTCATAATAAAAATTAAATTATAAATTAATATTAATGGAAAAAAAATTAAAATTATTTTAATTAATTTAACTACAAAGTATAAATTAATATTAATGGAAAAAAAATTAAAATTATTTTAATTAATTTAACTAGAAAGTAGTTATAGGGTATAAATAAAAAAAAATATTATCATATAAGATGGTAAGTCGTATAAGTGGCTTTAAATATATATAATAATATGGTTTTTTTTAAAAAAAATATTTAAATTATTTTTAATTTTAAATACAAAATTTGCTAACAAGTACCCGTGTAACATAGGGGTATTGTACTAGTATATTAATAAATATATTAGATATTTATTAAAATTGATAAAGTAAACAATAAAATCGATGATAATAGTTCAAATAATTGATTTAAATAAAACACTTAGAGCATCAACAATGTTTGGGTCTATGGGAGAAACAATATAGTGCCACATAGAATAGTGGATATTTTATTATAAAAAATATATCTCCAATGCAAACAAAAAAAAACACTAGATCAAGATAATGTGGCATGTGAAAAAATGGATTAGGTGTATACTTAGGTCTATTTTGAGACATGAGTCTAGACTCAAAGTTTTTATTTTATAATAATATCAATAAAAAAAAAAAACAAGTCATGGTTATTTATTTGTATATTATTTTAAACTCAACTTAAATTATTATTTTAATATACCATTCATATTTATTTTGTTCCCGGTCACTTTGAACTTAAGTTTAAAAAAAGTACATTAAAGTGTGGTCTATTTTTTTAATTATTTCTCCACATTATTTAAGATCCAAATATATTATATTGACAACTAAATAAAATTAGACTGAAAGCATTATGAATGTTGTTGCCTTTTCTGTCCACACACCAATAATAATGATGAAATTAAACATTTGATAACACATTTTTCTAGAACTATAATCCGACCGAGATCATGAAATGATGCCGTCTTTTCTGTATTATCTTACCCTTTTTTGAGCGTGACAATTCACGTATGTGCATATGTCACCAAGATTTGAAATTGTCCTCTAAAGATTGATGAGCAATGATTTCAATTTCAAACGAACCTTTAAATTTCTACTTATCTATATATACATATAAAAATGTTTGTATTTACATAAAATATAAACTAAAATCCCGTTTAAAAATTTTAAAATTACTAAAGTTGGTGTTTTTTTTATAAAAATTTTCAAAAAATCCTGCATCTAAAAATTAATTAATCAATTTATGGTATAAATTTAAAAAAAATTAATAAATTCAATTTTATATAAAGTGGGGGATTTTATTTTAGGTATCTGATGATCATTTTTAATTTTGGTAAAAAATGTGTTGTTATTAATAAATGTTCAAATCTATATATATTGAAAGAGAGAAGTAAATAAATCGAATGAGGAAAGATTTATAAAAATTGCAGTCAACCAAATTGACTTACTGAATATGGAAATCTTCTAAAAACGTGAATTTTGAATTCTCATTCCTTATAATGCAGCTGAATCAACCAATCAATTTGAAATTGTGATTCCATATTTAAAAAAAACCCCCAAAGATTTGAAATTGTGATATTTTACGTGAAAAAATCAACTAAAATTCCTAATAAGGGGCGGGTGTTACAACCTTATCAAAATCAATTTAATATTTTATCAAAATCAATACTTCTTTATCGTTAACAATTTCAAGAATATTATCTTAACAAAATATTTTCATATTTTACATGAAGATAATTGTGCAGATATCTCGCTGGACATATAAGGGTGTTGCGATGTTATATAGAATTATTGTTGAAATTAGCGCGTCATTGGCATTGCCGACGAGAGAGAGTGGACCGAAAGTGGTGAGGGGAGATCCGGCGAAGCCGTCGGAAATGCTGCGGATCGTGAGCCAGAGCCACGTCAGCCCCACCATTGGCGTTAGCGATAGTTCGCTCAAATTCACTCATGTCCTTTGCAACCTCTCGCCGGCCGGTAACACTTTTCCCCAATTAACCCTAATTTATTAATTTTCGCCGTTAATTTCTGTCGTATGTAGACAGAGCTATACGAGCAGGCCATTAAGTACGAGAAAGGATCCTTCATTACTTCCAGCGGCGCCATAGCCACACTTTCCGGCGCCAAGAGCGGCCGTTCCGCAAAGGACAAACGCATCGTGAGAGATGAAACGACTGAGGATGATCTTTGGTGGGGAAAGTATGTGCACACTCTCTCAATGCAAATATTGAGATGGAAGAGCACACTTTCATGGTTAACATAGAAAGAGCAGGGGATTACTTGAACTTCTTGGACAAGGTATACATATATATATATATATTGATCTGAGAATGAAAATCTGAAACCATCCGTAGTAATATTGTTTTTTTTTTGTTGTTTTTATGTCCACACCTTTGTGATTCTTTGAATGGTGCAAGTTTGGCCTTTTCCATATTTTGTCCTATTTCCAATGTCCTTATCTGTTATATCTAACCAACTATTTGTAATTTAAAATATCAATTTATGTTATATTACTCTTAATTCGGAATTTTAGCTGATTTATTTAGTTAATAAAATATTATACTCCCTCCTATTTTTATTATTTGTTGTTTTGAGAAGCAACACGCTAATTAAAAATTGTTTTTCTTGCCAATATTAACCCTATTTAAAGTTATGAGAAACAATGAAGATGAGATATGAAGAGACACTGTGTATTAGATTGAGGGTTAAAATGAAAAATATGAACAAAATAGCCAAAACGACATTTATTTAATCAATGATCAATTAAGTCAGAGTGACAAATAATAAAATTATGAGGGAGTATACTTTACAGCTTTTTCCATATTATATATAAAATATGTGTAACACATTTTTTTTTTTTCATTTAGGATGATGCGGATGAAGTGTCGACTCATCTAAAGATCGCTGCTCAAAAAGAGTTTGTTTGTGACACTTCTGCCACCAAAAGGAATCTTTGGGAGGAGCTGAGCAATTCCGAGGATGTTGTTCTTGCACTTGAGGCCCAATCAGTTTCTAAGGATAAGGAAAAGTAGAAGATTGAAGGATAAATAATTTCAAGATTTGGCATTGAATTTTATCATACTACTTAGTTATTTTTAAGTTTTTGAGATGGTTATTGCTATTTGGACACCATATTATTTCTATGTTTTCATGCAAGTTATTTCAATTTGGATACATTGTAGGTTTATTATTTATGATTTGGAAGGATTGATAATTATTAATAAATAAATATGCTAGCTGCAGCATATTGCTGGCAGTTTTTTATTTATGAATGTTTCTCAATTTTTCTCAATTTGGGAGGAGCTAAGCAATTCCGAGGAGGTTGTTCTTGCCCTTGAGACACAGTCTGATTCTAAGGATAAGGGGAAGTCGAAGATTGAAGCACGATATTAATATGATAAACTAACAACTCGTTTGTCGTATTGCCAGATAAATTATCATGTTATAAATAGATTCATTTGCTTCCACTTAACAGTTCTTTCTAATTTTAGGATTTTATTTAAGAGTCAAGGTCAATCTTTTTGTATAAAATGGTATAAAAATATTAGTAAATGTTATTTAACTAATCAAGTATAGTCGATATTAAAATGATATAGTACCAGCTCATTTGTCTAACTGCCTAAGTAAATTATCATATTATAAATAGGTCCATCTTAGGATTCAATTTAAGCTCCAAAGGCACCAATTCCGTCTAATCTTAGGGTTCCATTTAAGAGTGGAGGTCAATCTTTATCATGCGTTGATATGTTCCTAAAGAAATCGGTTCTTAGTCACGCACGACCAATGTTGTTTCGCGTGTAAGTAATAGATAAGAGCCGTGCATTGACATGTTCTTAAAAAAATCGGTTCTTAGTCACGACCAATTATATGTTGTTGTTACGCGTGTAAGTAATAGATAAAGAAGAGTCAGGGTCAGCCTTTATCGCACGTTGACATGTTCTTAAAGAAATCAATTTTTAGTCAGATACAATTATATGTCGTTTGTTTCGCGTGTAAGTAAAAGAAAATAATTAAAAATATTAGTTTGTGGAACGGCGAGTTGCCCAGTTATCAAACAAATAATGTTATATATTTTTTTTTCATGAGGATCATTTTATTATTTGACAATTTCCCTTACGAATTATCACCCTTTTATTTATTAGTACATTTTAATTTATAACATTCCCCAAAATAAATACAGTCTGTGCATCGCACGAGTTACGTACTAGTTTATGGTATAATGTGGAGGGTTTTATTTTGGTATGAAATGGTCGAATTTAAATTGTATGAATCTTATTTGGTATGGATAGATGAGTATTTGAAAATTTTGAAAATAAAATAAGTGGTATGATCTATATATATATATATATATGAGTATAAAGGTCGGATTTTAGGTTGATTTGTTATAAAATCAATGTGATATGATTCTCAAATTTTAGCATATTCACATAATAACTTGTCATATAACATTGATGATAATTCGGCAAATGGTTATGTATTTCTCTTGTAAATAAAAAAAATATTTGAACAAATATTGGTTAATAAAATTTAAAATTTTGTAATTTAATTATAGAGAAATAGTTGATAAATTTGAACGATAAGGTAACCGACAAGAAAACTAAAAAATCACGAGATAATGCATTTATATATATGTGGATGTGTGTGTGTGTGTGTTGTTGTGCAAAAATTGCTTTATTTTTACCGAGTACCGAATCGAAGGATTCGTTTCCTGGATCGATCTCTCGAGGAAGGTGGTTCGGAATTTAGCGTTGGTAATGATCACACACAAAAAGAAAATAAATCCTAAACACTCTAATCAGATAGGGGGTTGAATGAATTATTAACTAAGAAATAATATAAAGCATGAATCTACCTAAAATATAGATGAAACGATGAAAAAGAAGCTAGGGAGTCGGGGATAATTAATTCAAGTTCTTTTAGAAAAATCGGGCAATTAATTGTTCGGTTCGAGATTGACACTCTCTCTTAAACATCTAACGGTTCGCTCCCAATAACTCTTCGTAACAAGGGATTGAACATAGAAGAACAAGTTCAAGCATATAACACATGTCAATTATCCAATCCCAATAACTCTTCGTAACAAGGGACAGGTCATCGACAAGCGCGTATTTCAATCCAAAACCTATAAACTATTCAATTATGAAAACATCTGCCTCATGCGAGCCTAGGTCTACGACTTCTCCCCTTTCGATTCTAAAAGTCGCTAATTCAATTAGAAGAGTATTAAGCAACTAACCATTTAGAATCAACAAAACCCTAACTCGACGAATCAATATTCAATCGTTTACAATTGCAAGATCGAAGTGTCACTCTTCGATTATATCAATCAATCAAACAAGAATTCATCAATTCCTAGTCAAATTAACTCGCACAAGAACGACAAATGAAGCCTGACAGATACGAGTTAAACAAGAACAATCATCCCCTATCCCTAGCAATAAGAATTAGCTAAGCAAATTGAATTTAACACAACCAAGCATTTCACCCCACATAATCATTTTCATGAATTAAACAAGATGAAAAACTTACAATCAATCCAAATCCAAATGTTGAATTCGCAATACAAGCTTAATCCTTGAATGTTAAGAAGAAGAAGAAAAATGGAAGAAAGAGATTAAGAGAAAAAGAAGAAACAGAGAGAAGAAGAAAGGAAGGAGAAAAGAGTTTTTGCCTTTTTTTGGACCTAGAGTTCGTCCCCAGGAGGGGGAGAATAATCTGTCGAAGTCCCGACGCCAATATATATAGGAGAGAGAGGGCACGGCGCAAAGGATCTGTCGCGGGCGCGGAAGCGGGTGCCGCGGCGCGGAGAGAGCAGTCTGTCGCGACGTGCTGCTGTGCCGCGGCACGGGGACGTGAGGCCTGCTTCTGTATGCGCGTTAAGGCTGCCGCGAGCTGGCGCATGGCGTGGCAGGGAGAAGGGGCGCGGCGTGCTGCTGTCCCGTGGCGTGGAGCTCGAGTGGACCGCGGAGTGAGGGCTGGAGCGGCGTGGTGTGCGAACAGGTGCCTCTAACGGTCCTCGTGGCGGGTGTGGCGGCGTGGCGCGGGCGCGGAGAGCTGGGGCGAGGGCTGCTAGCCACTTTGTACTACTTCGTGTCACGGGCTCGTTTACGCTTGTCTGGACTCGGAATTTAATTCCGTTTTTTTCTACTTGTCGCCGACGAACTCCTCTATTTTATTATGCTTGAACGGCCAATTTTCGCCAAAAATTCAATCCTCTTGAAGCTTTCGACCTGCACACCATAAACAAAGAAAAACTGGAAAAACACACGAAAAACACATATAAAACCAAAACAAAACAAAACACACAATAAACTACAAAAACGAATAAAAACCAACGAAAAGACCTAAAACGGGAGAAAAAGAAAGACAAAATCATAACAAAAAATGCAACAAAAATGGGACAAACATGTGTGTGTGTGTGTGAAATATATAAGAAAATTTATTGTGTACTCAAAATGTGGGTTCAAATTTAAAAGTAAAATAAGTAGTTATTCATGACTTACGGTTCAATATTGACTTGGACGTAAATGGAATATTCAATTATTTATAGTTCAATAAATTACTTAACTACTTATTATTTTATTTGGGTATTTTATACAAAAATAAATTTATTTTAATAAAGAAAATATATTTATAATTATACTTATTATTTACATAGTTTTTAAATATATAATAAAATTTTACCAAAATATTTATTTTATTATATCACGTTGTACTCACAAATTGAATTTATGAATACAATTTTTAAAATGACAGTTATTTTGAAATGAATATAAAATAATTTATCATCAATTGCGCGCAACGTGTTGTGCTAATGTAGTAATTTTAAATCGACATATTTTATGTAATTTTTCACAATTTAAATTTCATATAAAATTTTAAATAAATTAATATAAGTAAATTATATTACATATTGATTCCATGTTTTTAATTTATAAATATTATTTAATGAGTATTTTTTAATTTATAAATATTAATAATTATCTCTCATCCGTTGATTCATACTAGTTCAAACTTATAAATAACAATACTAATAGTACAATACCTGTGTATTACACGGGTGCTTGTTAAAAATTTATTCTTAAATTTTAAAATTAATGAGAAAAATTATTTTACATTTTATTTAATTTTCAAAAAATATATATTACTATATATTTTAGAATGACATTTGTTACTTGTGTGACTTTTTTTTTTTTTTTCCGAAACGATAGAGGTATTATATTAATAAAAAACCGCACAAAGTGCGAAGAAAAGGCAGCCAAAGGCTGAAAAGTACAACCAGAGACTAGAAAACTGGGAGGCAGATCCAGAGATCGCCTAGAGCCGACCGCAACGGGGTAATACTCGGGCAACACGCACGAAAACAACGAAAAAACACAACCATACGAAACCAACTACACCAACAAAACTAAACAAGACCCCCAATGGAGTAATACCCGAGTGTCGGACCCCCACGGAGTAATAAATTTGACACTCGGACTCACAGGGGCCAACGGCCCAAACCTAAAACACTGACAACACAAACAATAGCAAAACAACGCAACACACAAACAAAAACTACAAATAAACATAAACCTAAACACGAAGCCTCCCTCAACAGAAACGTCCGAAGAAGACGGCAGACCAAGCCAGCTCCGAAGAGAGCTCCAAAGCTCTAGTACCTCGCCCGCCACTGCAGAAGGCCTAGCAAGAAGAAGACTATAGTCTCATAACAAACCAAAGAAACTGACCCGCGCACCGACCGCAAGAAATCACAATCGCCCACCAACCGGCTAACACCACTAGCCAATCCGAAACCATCCCGAATTTGCCTAACACCACTAGCCAATTCCGGAAACAGACGGCCTCCCACAAACTCAGAAACCGAGAGAGAGAAGGAAGGGGACGAATGACCTCAGAGCTCAGCCACGCCAATCCTGCCCGAAGGACCAAACCCAGCCCGGAACAAACACCTATCCACCCAGCCCGCAAGGATGAAACCCGACCCAACACCCCAGCAAAGCCGAGGTACCAGATACCAGACTCCGGTCAAAACCGAAGACCCGCAATCGGGAAGACCTTCTAGCCCGGCGATAAGAGCCGCTCTGACCACAGCTCGAACCCGACCTCCCCACCCAGCCCCCGGGGACGGACCACAACTCTCCCGCTCCACACCGAAACGTCGGCGAACAGAGCAGATCCACAGACACCGGAGCTGAACCCATCGACAAAGACTGGAAAGGGGAAACCTGAACAGGAGCGGCGCAGCCAACGAGCCGCTTCCAGCCACTGGTCGCACTTCTCCTAGCCTCTCCACCCTCGGGCTCCGACGGTCTCCAATTTCAGATCGACGAAATCCGCCGAAGATCGCCATCCTCACCCCGCTGCCAGAGAGAGAAAATAGAAAGTGCCGCAGTAGTGGTGTGGAAGCTCGACGGTGGGCAGTCCACCGACAAGCCGGATGGACGCCGAGAGAGGCGTGAGATGCCGACGATGAAGACGAGGGTTGCGGCAAAGGATTTGGGGATTTTGGGAGTAGAGAGAGAAAGTTTGAAATTTTTGTTACTTGTGTGACTTACATGTGTTTTATTATAGTAATTCTTATAACTTATATCATATATGATATAACTACTTGAAATATAAATATATTAATTGATAAATAATTTTTTTTAATTAATATTAAAAAATAATTTTATTATTGTTATAAAGATAAATATAATTTATTTATTTTTATACATACAATGTGGATGTTAAACCGAAGCTCATCATGAGATGATTAATTTGATATATTATATATGTAAAACGGATAAAAAATACAAAAGTTATTAACTTTTAAATTATACTTATAATTCAATAGTTATAATAAGAAATAATATTGAAATACATTTAATACATGTAACATGACCATAAATAATCAACATATTTACGGATAATTCGAACTTAATTATTTTTGGATTGGAAGTAAATTAAAATTCACTTAACCCTAATAACGAAACATGTAATTTTGCTATATAAGATCCCAAAACATTCGAGACTACCACTTAGATTCAACCCGTTTTGAATTAATATATAGAGGGGAAGGTTATTGCTACAAGCATATAAACGCTGGTGATACAGCACAGTTAATGCTAAGTTATTAAGGTGCCAAATCCAGATTCATCTTTTTAAACATTAGGTAACCTATTACTTATTGAGAATTGAATGCGAATATACACATAAAACTGTCTCCAGATAAGCATCGTAATTATTTGAGAGAAAAAATAAAAAACATTGCTGCACAATTGGTTAAACTAATAGTTAATTCCGTGCATATGCAAATACAAATAAAAATAAATTATATGCATGAATATTATATGTATAGTCATAAAACTTATGATATACATATCACTTTTTATAAATTTGATCATTAATATAAATGACAATGTATTTATCCTATTTTACTTATAAATTAATAAATATATAAATAGCATAAAATGTAATGAATCGCCCTTATATATAATTCTTGAATGTTTTGAGTTTAAGTGGCAGATTTGTATGTTTCGTAAATTTATTTGACATAAATTGATGCTTAGTAGTGACACGTGTTCATGTTTGGTTTCGACTATTAGTCTTGAGATTATAAAAAACTATTTTAAACTATTTTAGCTTCCTTTATTCTTAAGTTACCATATACTAATCTTATCTTTTTTATTTACCTCATATATTAATTATTATAAATATGTATTTCTTTTATTTTTAAAACTCTATAACTTTTTTATGTGTATTTTATTTTTTATATATGATCTACAAAAATAATCCTATTTTAACGATCTTCGATTTGGCATCTATATTGAATACATAAAATAAATAATAATATAACCTATATTTATAAATAAAATTAATTTTATTATAAATTCAATTTAAAATACATCAAATAACAATATAAATTATTTTATAAAAATAATAAAAATCTAATTTATTAATCCGCCATAAAATAATCATTTTATTTTTTTCCCATGAATTTAGGGATTTGTTTTTAAGAAATATTATAGAATATTATTTCTCAATTAAATAGATTATAAAAAAACAAAATCTATTATATTATTTAAAATAGTAAATATAAAAGAATATCATGATTATATATGATAAAATAATTTTGTATTTCATAAAGTTAGAAAATAATATATTTCTACGTCAATTCTAAATTATAAATTATATGAAGTTAAAGTACTTGCAAAATTAATACACGTGAGACCCTGACTCTATAAATATAAAATATAATAACAATACAATAAAACTTATTTTGTTAAAAAAACAAATATATGGAGTTGTAAATAATATCAGTTTTATACATATATAATTTTAAAAAAAAATAGTTACAAATATATTTTTTGACAAATTTAGTGTAAAAATACAGGTACCATTTGAATTAATTATTATTTTTTAGTTATTTATATTATTGTTGCACATTCATCAAACATAATTTCACAATAGAAATATAAGTTATCTTAATTTTTACTGTATAAATATTAATATATTTAAATACCTGTGTAGTACACGGGTTTGTAGTAGTAATATAATATTTACAAATTTAAGTGTCGTGATCAATTAATTAATTGAAAAAACAATATATTAAATCCCTAATACTATAGCAATTATTTGTACAATTTTAAGGCGTTTAATTTGCTATGTTATTAAAATCAATTAGTTATTAAAAAACACTAGTACAAGACCTTGTTAAAAAAATATTCTTAAATTTTAAAATTAATGAAAAAAATTATTTTAAATTTTATTTACTTTTTTACAAAAAAAATATATTATTATATATTTTAGAATGCCACTTGTTACTTGTGCGACTTAGATGCGTTATATTATAGTAATTTTTACAACTTATATCATATAAGTACTTGAAATATAAATATATTAACTGATAAATAATTTTATTTTTCTAATGAATATTATAAAACAATTTTGTTATTGTTATAAAGATAAATATAATTTATTTTTTTTATACATACAATATGGATGTTAAATCGAAGCTCATCAAGAGATGATTAATTTGATATATTATATATGTAAAACTGATAAAAAATACAAAAGTTATTAACTTTTAAAATATATTTACAATTTCATTCCATGGTTATAATAAGAAATGATATTAAAATGCAATTAATACATGTAACATGGCCATAAATAATCAGCATATTTATGGATAATCCGAACTTAATTATTTTTGGTTTGGAAGTAAATTAAAATCTATTCAAGCCTAATAACGAAACATGTAATTTTGTCACATAGGATACCCAAGCATGCGAGCTGCCACTTAGGCTCAACACGTTTTGAATTAATATATAGGAGGATAATAAATAAAAATAAAATGAAACACTAATTTTAAAATGAATACCTTGAAAAAAGTTTTGCTTTAAAAAAATTTATGAGTATATAACTTTCTTAAATTTTTTTTGTCTTAATTTATAATTAGTTAATGTTGGTACTAATTATTATGTGATAAATAAGCTAAAAAAATATTATTATACTTAATAAATCCAAAATTTAATGATCAATTTCTATGAATAAATAAAAAAACGAACGAAAAAAATAATATTAAATTAATAACCTTCAAGTATATTATATATAGATATGCTCAATTCGGATAAGATAGGCAGAATAGGAGTATATTTTCATTTACAAAATGTAATATATTTGCTTAATTTGGATATCGAGAAGATATACCTACACTATTGACCAGGGGCAATCCATTCTATTTCTGTAAATATAAAAGAAGATATTAAAATCTGGTCAATCCGTTCTGTAAATATGAAAGGAAGATATAAAATTGAGGGAAAGAGATAAGGCAGGCTAAATAATTAATTAAAAAGTTAGCACATTCGATTCCGAGTCTACTGCGTTTTGAAAATAAATAAATTATATTTTTCCTTTTGTGGGGAATTGGGGGAGGTGGGACCCACCTCGAAGGACGGAGTCCCATATCGCACTGGTAAGTCGGTCCACTGTTCTTATCCTTCCACCACCACATCAGTAATCAGTATCACCTTCCTTTTTACTCACACACACAATTATATTAATAATCTCTCTATCTCTAATAAACCAACCTTATTACAAATCTTGGCCCAAAACAGAACACCCATGGCAATTTAAGAATGTCAGGAATCCGCTACACCTGTGTTTATCATTTTCCCCACACACACACACGCCGACCCGCCATTGATATCTGAACTGTTCCTTCCTTTACAACAACACGCTACTCAATCACACAGAAATATCTTTTCTTTTCTTTTTTTCTTTTGTTTTTTCTCAAAATTTGTGATTATGCTGTCTCGATCCTACTTCAATCTGCTAAACCTGGACGACTACTCGACCCGGTCCCCTAGGCCGCCTATCTCCGTCCCCGGAATCGTTACCGATTACGAGGACCCTATCAATTGCGCCCAAAACGACGCCGTCCCTTCTCTGAGGATCATCGTCGCCAACAAGCTCCCTTTAAAGTGCCACAGGGAAGAAGATTCATCCAACGCCCAAAAATGGTCCTTCGAATGGGACCGTGACGAATTGACCCTGCAACTCCGGGACGGGTTCCCGCCGGGCGTCGATGTCCTCTACGTGGGCTCTCTTCCGGTGGATGTCGACCCAGTGGACCAGGACGACGTGGCCCAATTGCTGCTCGACAAGTTCAGATGCGTCCCCACTTTCCTGCCCTTGGATTTGGTCAACAGCTTCTATCACGGCTTCTGCAAGCACTATCTCTGGCCCCTTTTCCACTCCATGCTGCCCTTGACCCCCGACCATGGCGTCAGGTTCGACAAGGCCGCGTGGCAGGCCTACGTCTCTGCAAACAAGATTTTCGCGGACAAGGTTATGGAGGTGATCAACCCGGACGAGGATTATGTCTGGATTCACGACTACCATCTCCTCATTCTCCCCACTTTCTTGAGAAAGAGGTTTCACAGGGTGAAGCTAGGGTTTTTCCTCCACAGCCCCTTTCCCTCTTCCGAGATTTACCGGACTTTGCCCGTGAGGGAGGAGATCTTGAGGGCCCTTTTGAATTGTGACTTGATTGGATTCCATACGTTCGATTACGCCCGACACTTTTTGTCGTGCTGTAGCCGGATGCTTGGGTTGGATTATCAGTCCAAGAGGGGTTACATAGGATTAGACTACTATGGCAGGACAGTTAGTATAAAAATCCTCCCTGTTGGAATTCACATGGGCCAGATCCAATCAGTCATGTCCTTGCCGGACACCGCTGAAAAAATCAAGGAATTAAACAAAAAGCACCAAGGGAAAACTGTGTTGTTGGGGGTCGACGATGTGGATATGTTCAAGGGCATTGGTTTAAAGTTCATAGCTTTTTCTTTGCTTCTGGACGAAAACCCGGAACTCCGAGAGAAGGTGGTTTTGGTGCAGATTATGAATCCTCCCAGGAGTCGAGGCAAGGACATTCTCGAAGTTGAGGACGAGATTAGTAAAGTGGCAGAAGAGATAAATCGGAAATATGGCAGTGGGGCCCACAAACCAATCGTATGTGTGAATGGCCCAGTCTCGTTTCAAGACAAAGTCGCATATTACGCTGTGTCTGAATGTGTGGTGGTGAATGCGGTTAGAGACGGCATGAATCTCGTCCCATACAAGTACACAGTGTCCAGACAAGGCTGTCCCATGTTAGACGAGGCTTTAGGCTTCGAGAGTCCCAAGAAAAGCGTCATTATCGTGTCCGAATTCATCGGGTGCTCACCTTCCCTCAGTGGGGCCATCCGCGTGAACCCTTGGGATATGAGCAGTGTGGCTGAAGCTATGGCCTCAGGTATAATGATGAAAGACTCTGAAAAAAAACTAAGGCACGAAAAACATTACAAGTACGTGGCATCTCACGATGTCGCGTACTGGTCAAGGAGCTTTGACCAGGACTTTGACCGGGCTTGTGCCGAGCACTGCAGGAAGAGGTGTTGGGGAATCGGGTTCGGTTTGAACTCGAGGGTTGTGGCTTTGGGCCCGAATTTTCGGAAGCTTGCGGTGGAGCATATTGTGTCGTGTTATAGGAACACAAATAGTAGGCTTATACTTCTTGATTATGATGGGACCATGACACCTCAGGATATGGTGGATAAGTCACCGAGTGATGAAGTGATTTCGGTCTTGAAAGGATTGTGTGGTGACCCAAGGAATATTGTTTTTATCGTTAGTGGGCGGGGTAAAGATTCGCTCGGGAAGTGGTTCGGGCAGTGTGAAGGGCTTGGGTTGTCTGCAGAACATGGTTACTTCACTAGGTAATGCTTTCATAGAAACTCACTTTCGCAACTATTCATGTAACTCTCGTTTTTGTTTTATTCGATCTTTCTATCTTATGTGTATAAACTTTGTTTATTTCTGCACCGGGGTTTTCTTGTCCGATCGATGTACTTAAAAGAAAAGAGTTGTGATTCAACTTCTTTGGTTTTATTTGATAGGTGGAGTAAAGATTCTGAGTGGGAATCTTGCGAGTTAGGAGTTAGTTTGGAGTGGAAGAAAATTGCACTGCCTGTGATGGAGCACTACACAGAGGCTACAGATGGTTCGTGTATAGAGCAGAAGGAGAGTGCTTTGGTTTGGCATCATCAAGAAGCCGATCCTGATTTTGGCCTGTGGCAGGCAAAAGAGCTTCTTGATCACTTGGAGAGTGTGCTTGCGAACGATCCTGTCGTGGTTAAGAGTGGACAGCAAATTGTTGAGGTGAAACCGCAGGTATGTGACTTTATGGGCATGGTTTCAAAATTAAAATATACAATCTTTGCTAATGAATTGTCTGTTAAAATTAGTTTTGCTGGATCAGCTTAACAAAGAGTGTTTGCTTCTTGAATGCATATTTGAAATATAAAATATAAAATAAAATTGCTCAGCCTTGAATTCTGAGATTGAAAACTAGATATAGCTCGGTCGTGTTGGAGTGGTAAACGTAATGAACCGAAATTCACGCATTTTTTTGGTTGATATATGCAAAATTCTGTTTGTTTTTGGTGAAAATTGCAGAGATGCTCCAGATACATTCCCTTCTTTGCCTTAATAGTAAAATAAAAAGTGATTCCCACTTTTTAGTGGCGAAATTGATTATATTTACTCTTACATATAGGTGACTTGTGTTTGCATTTTTGTTATATTAGGGTGTGAGCAAGGGTGTGGTTGTAAAGAATCTCACACAAACAATGAAAAACAGAGGAAAACCGGCAGATTTTGTGTTGTGCATAGGAGATGACCGTTCAGATGAGGACATGTTTGAGGCTATAGCTAATTTACTTGTTGACCATTCATTGCCGGAAAATGCTGAATTATTTGCATGCACGGTTGGTCAAAAACCGAGCATGGCCAAATATTATCTGGACGACACATCTCAGGTTATCAAGATGCTTGAAGCTCTCTCAGATGCTTCCGGACAAAAACAGCCTTCCGTAGATGAAAAGACTTTTGGAGAAGTAGATGAAAACTGAAAGTTGGAATCTGTCTTGCGAACTTCTGTACAGGTGATAAATATTGTTGCAGGTCTGTTTTCTCATCATCAATAGATTGAAAATTGACTTAGGTTTATCCCCTTGTTGACATGAGTTTAGAAATTTGTTTGTCACATTATTATTATTTTTGTTTTTTTTGGGATATAGTCTTGAACTACATATCATGGTTTTAGTTGCCTCACTACTCACTAGTATGTGAAAGTGAAACAAGCACTGATAAATTGGAATTATTTTTTATTTTCTTGATTGGTGACATTCATGTATCTCAGGCTCTCAGCATTTCTTCGCATTTGAAGACAAAATGGAGTTGGGATAATAGCCTGGGATATTAGGGCGTATTAGGTTTGGATTTGATAATGCAATTCCTATGTTTATGTTTTGCAGGTGATTACGTTCGTCTTGTTTAAAGGCTATGATAATAATTTCTTTTGCTCTAAACTCAAGTTCTGTTTCCTAGGCTTCTCTTCATGATCTTATCACAAATTAGGTTTTGGCTCGTTATGAGCTTTCTGTTTGCAATTGGGTTTGTTTGATTAGCAACTGTTGGGATAGGACGGTGTCTAACTTGAAGAAATAGTAGGTAAACTAAAAGGAGTTTGGAGAAATTATTGGTAGATTAATTGCTGAAGTTATACATGAGGCATAAAATAATGTTTAAGGTATATCTCCGAAAATTAGTATAAGGGATATGAATGTGTAAAGTTCAATATTCTTATTAGGTTAGATTACCTATGCTATTTAGGTTCTAAGTGGGATATAAAAATGATTTTTATAGTTAGGATTACTTAAATGAGTTGGGACATCGTTCATACCTAACAATATATGTTATGTTATTTTGCCACTTATTTTACTATTAGATTGATAAAAAAATCAATATCAACCATACATTATAATATACTAGGTAAAAAAGTATTTTAAGTGCTACATGTTGTACATGAGGAGCACCTTATACACTCTTACTTCAATTAAAATTTTTTTTTTTTTGTTTTTAATTTCAAGTTCATGTGTACAAAAAATTAAAAAAAAAAAAATAAAAAAATAGGGGCTATTAAAAATTAAAAACATATTAGAATTGTAGATCTGATCATCTCGCCGCCACAAGTTGTTGTTGGCCACCACCGTTGGTTGTTCGTCTCTCGCCTACTAGTGTTGGATTTCAACAAACCATATTTTTAAGATCTCGACTCAGTCTTTTTAAGACGTGTTTCATTATGCGATATTGTTTCAAAAACAATTAAAGAATTGCGCATTAAATTTTATCGAACGAACATCGGAGATACTGTTGGATTTTCATGAAACATATATGTATAGAATGCTTTTTTCATGAGAAATGCAATAATATCTCCAAATCGTCAATCATACCTTCCAATATTTAAAAAAATGTTAGTGAAAGTTTTAAATTTCCGACAAGTGGTTGGTGGCGGCGGGATGAATACTTCAACCGGTAATTTCAGGCAACTCGGTTGTCCAAATTTGATGGATAACCTCTCATTTTGTTTTCTTTCCATGGGCAATAATAGTACTTGATCAATTTGATGTTTTGAGTTCATAAGATATTTGTAATTAGTTTTTAAGTAAAAGTGATTTAGCAGTGTAATTACTAATTAGTGACATTATCTTTAAATATTTGTTTAAGAAAATAAAAGGATGCATGTCACAATTTCAATGGGTGGTTGAGTTTCAACAGATCGCCGGTGAGTTGGACTTGGGGGTGATGATTTTGAAAAATTAGTAAGCTTTATGGAACAAATTGTAATTTTATAAATTTTAATTATATTACAATTTAATTAATGATTCAAATATGTAATTGTGATGGGAAGGGTGTGTGTGTGTGTGTGTGAGGGGGGTGTGGTGGGGTGGTGTGGGGTCTGATGGGGTGGGGCCACTGTTGGGTGTAATTGTAAAATGTCCAATTTACCTTTAATCAGTATAAATGTTTGGCTTTTTTTAGCCATTGGAATATCCGATCAGACGGCTCCAATGTACTCTTATTTCTTTCACTGAGCATCTTAGTCATACGATCTGACCATCCAACGGCAAAAAAAAATAATAATAATAATAAAAACCAAAATTCTACACTTATTAAAGGATTATTAAGGGCATATTGGACATTTTACCTATCCCAACCCAATCATACACCTATCCCACACACTTGTGGGTCCCACCCCCACCAACACATCACTCACTTTCTCTTACACTCTTCCTCTCGATCTATACGCCTCCCCGATCTGTAAATTTTTGCCCTACCTCCACTAAATCTGCCGTGGCCGCCGCTAAACTTGCCGACGCCTGCTCCACTAAACCCGACGACGCCGCTGAACTTCCCACCGCCGTCGCCTGTCTGAGATATCCCCCGCGTGCCTGTTTTTCTGAGTTTTCCACCGCCGCTAAACACCTACCCGCCACCGACCGTGTTTCTCATCCGCCGTGACAGTCCCGCCGTCTCCGTCATCATCCGGGACGGCTCGAGCAGAGATGTCGTTGCGTGGTGGAGCCTCACCAAGAGCTCGACGACCATCGCATCGTCATGGCGGTGTGACCACTCCTTGTCAGCACCACTCATGGCCGCCGTCCAAATCCTGACAGCGCTACCGTCATCTTCCTCCTTAGCCGCCACGTCAAAATCCGCGCTGCACATTCTCGCTGCCGCCACCTTCCAAATCTCGCTCGATGATGTCCGGCGAGGCAGCTATCTCCGCCATCCTCGCAGTCGTCTCCACCCGTCCCGACGCCGGCGCCGTCTGCCTAGGTCGGAGAAGGACACAAGCCACACAACACTTACGGGATTTAGAAATTGTTAAAAAATTAGGGATATGGCTATTTTTTGTAAATTAGATATAATCAAGGGACTTATATGCAAATAATTTTTTTTAACTATTTTGTAACTTAGTTCATGGGTTAAATTTATAAATTAATAAAATTTGATAGTTGCACATTAATGTTCAATGCGTTGCACCATATCGCGTTCGGAATTACACATTAAAAATATCACTATACAGACTGCACCATAATGTTATACAAGTTGCACTTTAGTGCATGTGATATTGTACTTTATCGCAAACAGTGCATTTGCGCAATGACTAAAATACTCCTGCATGAAAAATCAAAAGTCCACTTATTTACAGAAATGTCATCGCGTGTTTGACTAAAGCTGGACTCTTTGACCGTGTCTAAAGTGTTGATATATCACATTCAAGGGTTACAATTCATTCTTATTTCTTTCATTACTAGTGCGTGGCCCGTGCAATGCACGGAAAACAATATTACGATTATATTGTAAATTAAATATATAAATAACGTTAATCATGATATACCCATTGTTTTCAAAATCAGACCGGATCAAACAGTCCAACCGGATGGATCGAGATCGATTAGTCCGGTTCGCTTGAATAAAATGTTTGTTAGAGAACCGGTCACACACAAGTCGGTCGGACGACTGATTGGTAGTATCGGTACAATTTTTTATATAAATTATGTTAAATTTAAACTATATAAGTTTTTATAAATCATTCTTAATATAAGTGTTTACATAAATATCAATAAAATTATATATAAGTATTTATAAATCACTGAACATGTTGTCATAAAAGCATTTTTAATATGATTATTTGGAGTATGAACTAAATTACATTTATTGTAAAAAAGTATTTTAAATATTAAAAATTATATTTAGTTCAATAATTTGGTCTGGTCAAACTGACCCATAACTTGGTCACTCGAGATCAACCTCAGTAGTTGTGTCATTGACCATAACTTGGTCATCCAGGATCAACCTCAGTTGTGTCATGTTTTTGGACTATTTTAAATATCAACTAATATTGAGCATTAACCTAATTCAATCATTCGATGATCAAATGAAATTCTCTTGTTTTCTTTACATATATGTAACATTATGAAATAAAAAAATATTTTATGATTCGTGTACTAAATATTTATAAAATAATGATAATATATTAAGATTATAAATTATATATCTATATATAAGTTAATTATCTCTTACTTTATGCATATTTATAAAAAAATCTACATATTTGAAAATTTAAAATTAATCGATTGATTTTGCAATTGTCGCGATAACTCGATACCAACATGAGTTACTACATAGCAGAGATATTTTGCATATCAGTTATTATTTTTTAAACATAATATTTTTTCGCTTATATAATATATATTAGTACTTATTAAAAAAAGTACTACATAAATAAATTAATTGTGAAATATAAATTTTACCGTTACTTAACTCTTAATTAATTCATTTTCTACCATTAATTTATTTTTTTTTAATAAAAAATGATAAAAAAAAAAAAACTTTTAAACATCATGATGATTTTATATGTAATTAATATACTGCAAATATTCAATTTAGGATATTAATATAAATGACTAATTTTATAATTTGAGATTTATTGTGGAAAACGTAATACCAAATATTTTTGTCTTTCATTTTAATATTTGTATTTTAAAAGATTTATTGATACATAATTGTTTTAAAAAAAATATGACACATAAATTGTTCAAAAAAGTGGACAATATTTTAGTCTACAATTTTGAAAATTAAAGTGCACGATAAGAAGCAAAAAAAGTAGGACAATATTTAAGCATACAATTTTGAAAATTAAATATCATGCAAAAGGATAAAAGTTAATTTAAAATTTTATTCAAAAAATTTCCTTAATAAGTAAGTCAAACTATTTAAACAAAAAGTCAACTTTCCACTTTTGTATTATCCATCAAACTCTTTCAATATATATAGATATAGATTCTTCTTTCTCATATGATCCCTTTTCTTTATGGCTGTGTTTGGTAAGCCAAATAAGCTAGCTTATAGCTTATTTAGTTAGCTTATAAGCTCCTTGTATTCAAATTAGCCTCGTTTGGTAGGACGAGCTTTTTTAAAAAACTCGAGCTTATCTCATAAGCCACTTTAGGTAGCTTTTCAAATAAGCTAGTTGAATTTTTTATTTCAGCTAGCTTAACAACAAATTTTACCAAACACTTTTATCATATAAGCTAGTTTTTCAGCTATAAGGCATAAGCTATAAGCTATAAGCTAAAAAATTACAAATAAGCTATAAGCTAGCTTATCAGCTATCAGCTATCAGCTATCTTATCAGCTAGTTTTACCAAACATAGCCTATATATATATATATATATATATATATATATATATATATATATGAACCAGTACAATTTGTTCTACAACATACGGTTTATGTCATGATTATATGATTTCAACAAAAAAATCATTTGTGCTTGATTTTGTTATCCTTGGTTTGGGTCAAGTGTATAATATTTCTTAAATAAAAAATAAACATTCGATGCACAATTAGGGTTATGTTAGGTTACATAAAATTGTAAAATCCTTTATCTTCTATTTGTCATCAAATCCACAATTCTATCAACAGAAACAACCTAAAACATTCCAAGTACGGTTCAGAACGAAAAGCATATTTAAAAATATCAAAGTGGAGTGTAACAAAATATGATCTTCAAATCTAAGTACCCTTCATTCAATATCTCTTCAATACATATTGACATTCAAAACAAATCATTTCAACAAGTACCAAACAATAAATTGTCATGCTCCTCTTGAATTTGTTTTCTTCCCAAATTGAAACTTTTTCTGTACAAGTGTACGATTCAACTTCGTTTTCATCATCCGACTATGAGTTCTCGACCTAGTCTGACACACATCTCTCTCTCCACTTGGGACTCACATCCCAACTCTGGTGCCAATACTAACACAAAAACTCCACCATAAGGCGACATGTCTGGGCAACATTTTCTTATGCCATGGATCAACTTTCAAAAAAAGG